GAAGCTTATCTTAATGTAAACAAATAACATTATATATTATGAAATGGACTAAGCTTGACAAATATTTTAATATATTTTGTGTTGTACGTAATTTATATAGATACAAATATTTAAGTAAATGCTCTCTTTTATAATAAACAGTATTAACAACATTTACCGGCGTCAATGTCCGAGAAATAATACTGTTTATTATAAACTGAGCATTTACTTAACTTTTTTCATTTATATATATAACGTATAACAATAAATATATGAAAATAATTGTCGAACCAATTTAGTTATAATCAAAAAAAGAGCGTTGAACTGTTGGCTAATTGCAATCCAGCCGAATGGTAGGGAATATTTGATAATTTAATGATATAGGGAGGCATATTCAGACAACAAATATGTGTTCTACAGAAGGATGATGAGAATACCATGGATAGAACATGAGATCAACCAGAATATTTTTAACAAAATGGGCACAGAGACAGTTGGAGTATCCATGACACATAACGAAGAAAGACGGCCTGGAGAATTTAACACTCACACGATTAAACACAATTCGGACAAAAGAAAATATTGAAATTCCTCTTTTAAAAATGATTAAAAATCCGACAGAATAGAGGTTATATATATCATCAATACACATAAACATTGTCAATTATATACAAAAATATAGGTAAAACATTTGGAGCGCCATAATCGTTTACGTTCTGAATGTACTCCTAACATAAAAATGTGTATGTGTTCCATAGCGAGAGAGAGAGAGAGCATAGTGTACTTATTGTAATGACTGTCTTCACTGTAGGTGACTCAGCCTGCATAAATCTGGTTGCTAAACCGGAAGTCGCCATAGAAACACGGTAGCCATTTTAAATGTTATTTTCGTTCTAGAGATGGTATTGGCTGCAGGCTGCTATGAGAATCTGCGAAGCATTTAGAAAAATCTCACATGTGGAATAAAAAGTCGCTATTAATTATTCAGAGCGAGACTTAGATATGGCGGATATAGAATCGAGTGGCCAACTAAATAAACGGAACGATGTTGTAGAAAATAGGGAATGTTAAAAAATATAAGAAACAAAATCAAGCTGGAAAGAAAGGACCATTTTTTTTTTCCTTTAAACTTTTTAAATTATCTCACCTTAAAGAGTGCACTAAAGTTTCAAAGACACAAGAGGTTACTGTGTGTTTAAGAATAAGAAAAAAGAGAAACATTATTAATGAGCAAGACCAATAGGAGAAAAGTAAATAAGACAGTAGACAAAGATTCATATTGCGTTTAAATTTACTCCAAGCGAAAAGGGCGAGAGAAGAAACTGTTAGCATAGAATGTACGCTAACTTGTCCAATTCAACTGTAAATAGATTAGATTTTGCAGTCAATTTAGTATTCCGCTTAAATACATAAAGTCTAGGTACCAAAAAGAAAAGTTGATCAGAAAAATTAACATGAAATTTATATAGAGAAGCTACATGGACGATACGTTAGGTTGCTGAGAAAAAGAACTGAAGCCGAGTCGCCAGGTCAGAATCAATAATATTGCGGACAATTCTTTGGCTTTTACCAAGAATCTCTAAATATACAACAAGAGCATCGGACCAGATATGGCATCAATATTGAAAGCATGGACGAAGCGTTGACTTAAAAAAGATAGTTTTTGAAGAGAAGAATTGTTTAGCACGTCATAGTGAACTAACGTTACGGGATATTTAATGCAAAAAATCGAATATTTTTTTTTACAATTTTTGTTTAAGATAATAATGGTTTTAGTGATACATGTCTTATTAATTAAAACATAGCTGGGTGGATAAATTATTCATAACAAACCAAGATCTTTAACTTTTAAAACTATTTTCGAATGAACCCAACGTTTAGAACTTTTATTATATATATATATATATATATATATATATATATATATATATATAAATAATGGTGAATATAAAATATATCAAATATATATATATATATATATATATATATATATATATATATAAAACGGTTTCAGACTCGACGTTGAATATATATATATATATATATATATTCTATATATTTATATATATATATATATATATATAATTAATATATATATATATATATATATATATATATATATATATATATATATCGATATATATATATATTCAACATATATATATATATATATATATATATATATATATATATATATATATATATATATATATATATATATATATATATATATATATATAGTTATTATCCACTGGGCCATGTGTCCTTGAGGACATATCTGTATGAATTTTGGGGTCTTATAAAACTAATGCCCCAGAAGTGGCATGACACGCGGAACTAGAACAATCTACCCCGGTGGACAGAAATAAAGTGCTCGAAATTCCAATCACCTGAAGAAGAACGGTGCGTAAAACGACCAGAAAACGTTGTGAATCTGGCAATAAAAATGAGGATAACAGACGGAGTAGTTTCAATAATGATTAGTTTGTTGTTTGTGTTCAGCGACATATAAACCTTCATGGGTTAATTAATGCGGAAATCTAAATCTTTTTACAATTTTTTTTTATTTTTTAGATAATATTTTTAGTGATACAAGTCTTATTAATTAACACATAGCAGAGGGAGATGGGGGGGGTTGATACTCCTCCCCAGGGCATTTGCTTTCAAGTAAATATAATGAACCCAACGACAACTGGACCTCGGCTCTCCGATCAATATATATATATATTTATATATATATTAGGTTTGCCCCAAAAATAATGACCTAATAATGTCGTTTTTTATTTATTTTTAACGTCAAAATCTATCTATTATCATCATTTTTTTTTCAATCTATATTTTTAGTCTCCTCTATATATATATATATATATATATATATATATATCTATATCAGTAAAAATTCAGGAGAATCCTGGGCATTTTCTATAATATGCCTTTGAAGTGGGTTTGGATGACGCATTTCTTTTTTTTCCATCTTATTTCAATCTCGATATTTTTATCCCTCCTTTATTTAGGGAAAGGATCTAACTACTTATCTATCGATCAATTTTCAAAAATTAAGCTAAAATTACAAATGCTGAGTTCTAAGGCACTCAGGTTTTTAAAATTCTTCCTTTTCCAAAACTTTCAATTTTATACAATCTTTTATTGCCTCTGATCCACGATATAATTCGTCATATTCAGAATGAAGAAGAATATATCTGCGGCAAGAAAGAGGTTCCAAAAATATGTGATCAAAAGAACCGATTTTGGTAAATCAAACGCTTATTTATCATTGGTTTCAAGAGACAGTGTTTTAAAAAAAAGCCAGAATGTGTAATGGGGAGTTTTAGAGTTTGTCGACTTTGCGCCGTTTTTGGGTTGTAGAAGCATTGCATCGCAACTCCATTGGCCTCCATTTCTAGCAATGTCTCTGAACGAACTAAATTTACTTAATCTATATAAGAATATACAACAAATAAATTGACAAAAACAGAATCGAGGCTGAATGAAAAGGTGTTGAGAAGAAAGAAAATAACAATGGGTGAAGGAAATTATCATTTTGGAAGGAAAAATGTACGAGACAAGCGACAAAGAATTCTAATTATATCCGCTTCAATGGAGCACTACGGCCATTTATTTTGATAAAAAAAAAGATAGTTTTGGATCTTTTGTTTTATTCATCTTTCTATTTTATATATTTTTCTTTTGATTAAAATGGACGCAGATTTTCTGCATTTTATATTAGATTTTTTTTTAGGAATTCAACAGGAAGGAAGGAAGGAAGGAAGGAATTTTGAAGTTTAAGAGTAAATTTCCAGATGAAATCGCCAAAGGCATAAAAATGGAATTTATAGTGTTTGGGAAACGAAATTGATCTGAGATAAAAAGAGAGAGAGAGAGAGATGGACCTCCGATATTTACACTGAAAAAATATAATATATATATATATATATATATATATATATATATATATATATAGTTTATGAAAAAAAAAATAGGTAATCCGTATGGGTAAGCCTAATGATTATAAAATCCAGAGAGCTCAATGTAAATCCAGAGCAAATAATTTAAATAAAAACAGAGCACTTTAAGGTTCCATGTCATAAATTATTTCACCACAGCCCTTTTAAAGGTCTGCGGATCATCAGACTCTACTTTCAAAGGTTGAAACAAAAAATGAAAAGAGATTTATACATTTTTGACGGGCCGTATTAAACATCTGTAAATTAAAGAAGTGAGAAAAGTGAGGGGCGAGAAATTTAAATTTCTATTCTTTCATACTTAAAATTACTTGAACAGAAAGAAAGAAAGAAAGAAAGAAAGAAAGAAAGAAAAAGAAAAGAAAGAAAGAAATTTTAGAAAAAAAGTAAAAAGAAAATAAAGAAAGATTAAGAGGCGAAAATGAGATTTAAAGGAAGAGAAAGAAAAAAAGAACAAGAGCCAAAATGATTAAAAAAAAAGAAAGAATGAGAAAAAGAAAGAGAGAAATACTTAAGAATGAATCAAAGACATGATGAACAATATAGATGATGAGAGAGAAAGACTAAAGGAAGAAAGAAAGACAGAAAGAAAGAAAGAAAGAACGAAAGTGATAGGCAGAAGGAATAGAGAAGAAAAGAAAGAAAGAAAAGAAAGAAAGAAGCAATGGGAAGCCACCATACGAAAGAAAGAAAGAAAGAAAGAAAGAAAGAAAGAAAGAAAGAAAGAAAGAAAATGTGAGAAGGAAACAAACGAAAGAAAGAAAGAAAGAAAGAAGCAATGGGAAGCCACCATACGAAAGAAAGAAAGAAAATGTGAGAAAGAAAGAAAGAAAGAAAGAAAGAAAGAAAGAAAGAAAGAAAGAAAATGTGAGAAGGAAACGAACGAAAGAAAGAAAAAAGAAAAAAAAAATGGGAAGCTGGGTTCCATTTCAAAGAAAGAAAAAAATATGAGAAGGAAACGAACGAAAGAAAGAAAAGAAAACGAAAGAAAAAAGAAAGAAAAGAAAGAAAGAAAAGAAAGAAAAAAGAAAGAAAGAAAATGTGAAAGAAAGAAGCAATTTAAAAACCATACGAAAAGAAAGAAAAGAAAATTAATGAAAGAAACAAACGAAAGAAAGAAAGAAAAAGAAGCAATGGGAAGCCACCATACGAAAAAATTTGCAAAGAAAAATAAAGAAAGAAAGAAAGAAAGAAAGAAAATGTTTTAAACGAACGAAAAGAAAGAAAGAAAGAAAATAAGAATACAAACAAGCCAATAAATAAAGAAAAGGAAAAAAAATGTATAAAAGAAAGAAAGAATAAAAAAGAAAGAAAAGAAAAAAAAAGAAAGAAAAAAAGAAAGAAAAGAAGCAATGGGAAGCCAAAATAAAAGAAAAGAAAAAAAAAAAGAAGGAAAACAAACGAAAAAGAAAAAAAATAAAAAAGAAATGTAAAAGAAACCACGAAAGAAAAAAAAAGAAAGAAAGAAAGAAAGAAAAGAAAAAAAAAAAAAACTTTAAAAATGGAAAAAAAAGAAAGAAAATTATAATTTTGAAGAAACGAACGTAAGAATTTTAAATCAAATTTAAAGAAACTGAAATTTTTGTTTAAATATTTAGGAAAGAAACAAAATTTTCAAGTATTCATAAAACGAACGAAAAAAAGAAAGAAAGAAAAAAGAAAGAAAAAAAAAAAAAGAAAATGCGAAGCCACCATACGAAAGAAAAGAAAGATTGAAATGTGAAGAAAACGAAAAGAACAAAAAGAAAGAAAAAAAAGAAAGAAAGAAAAAAAAAGAAAAATTCAAAGAGAAAGAAAGAAGCAGAAAAAATTCACCTATTTTTTTGATCAAGAAATCAAAATTTCAAAATATTGTTCTCGAAAGAAAAGAAAGAAAGAATTCGAGAAGTTTTTTAAATAACAGGATAATCACCATACGATTTCAATTAAAAAAATGTTAAAATGAAACAAAAAAGAAAGAAAAGAAAAAATCTTTTCAAAGAAAAAAGAAAGAAAGAAAGAAAAAAAGCAATGGGAGGCCACCATTCAGAAAGAAAAAAATTTGAGAAAGAAAAAAGAACGAAAGAAAGAAAAAAGAAAGGAAAAAGAAAAACAAAAAAAAATTCAATAAGGACAAGAGACAAAAAAAATAATAAAAAAAAATAAAAGAAACATGAAAAAAGGAAAATGAATTAAACTCATTGGAAGAAAGATTTATATACAAGTGTTAAAAAATATGAGAATGAAAGAAAAGAATGAAAAAAAAAAGCATTTATTAAAAATTAAGAATAAAAGAAAAAAAAGAAATTTTCAAAAATTAATGAGGATAAAATGAAAAAAAATTTGAATAAAATTAATTTTTAAAAAAACAAAAATCTAAAAAGAAAAAAATGGAAAAAAAAACTTTCTAAAAAAAATAAAACATTTAATCGCTAATAAAGAAAAAAAAATCCTGAATGCGTTCGAAGAAAAAAGAAAAAAAGGGTTAAAAAATATTCCCTGGTGAAAAGAAGGAAAGAAATTCTAAAAACAAATGAATATTAAAAAAAAAAATTTTAAAAATAAATAGAAAGAACAATTTCCAATAATAAAGAAATTTTTTTAAAATTTTAAAGACGTAGAAAAGAAGAAAATTTAAAAGAGATTTGGAAAGATGAGAAAAACAAACAAATTTACAAATTAATTTAAAGAAAAAAACAAAAAAAACAATTCGAGAAAAAAAAAAAAAGGAATAAAAAAGTTGATTTTAAATCAAAGAAAGAATAAATAAAAAAAATAAAAAGAATCTAGCTTTTATTTAGATGGAAATAAGCAGCTAAAACTTCCACTTGAATAACGGCAGCTACGTGACGTGCATGGGATATACGAGGTACTGGTTACATGATATTCATGAATAAAAAAATAAAAAATGACTCTTATCAAGAAATTTTGGTAACTTTTTACAGTTTCTGTTTTCATAGATTTTGAACTTAAAGGATAAAAACCAGTGGAGCATTAATAGCTTGCCCTGGTGTTCCTGGACACATCTCCTTGTCAATATTAGTGCATTATATTATATGAATGCTGTTTTTATTTTGCTTTGCTTCTTAGTCAATATCATTGAGCAATAACGTTATTTTTGATCTTGTTGAATCAGACTGTTAATAACAGACCCCAGTTTCATTTGTGGCCTTGCGGGTTTATAGAGGATATAACCAACTGTTGGAAAGTCATTAAGACCGTTCAGCATTACACTTCTAACATGCGGGGTTCACGTATGGTCTCCTCCTCACACTAAGTCGATCTTCTGCTGAAATCTGTTAAAATGTGACATGTCTGAGCGGGAGAAAGAATAACAATAGTTCAACATCCAATAAATCCCGTAATTTAAGCGCAAATTTTGTCATTAAAGATAAATATTTTATGCTATTTTTAAAAATTGCTTTTTAAATTACTTTAACATATCAAGCATTAAACATACACACAGATGCTAAAAGGTAAAACGTTGTGTGAAAAATGAAAAAAAAAAAAAAAAACCAAAAAATTTTTTAATTTTGGATACATGAACAGAAATCTCTTTTTTATATTTTTCTGATGTCTAGACAAAACATTGAAACCAAAACTGCATAAAATTTAATCTATAAGCCCTGACCACAGCTTTTAATATGGTATATATAGATAAAATATAAATATATTTTATAAATATATATATTTGAACAGAGGTAAAAAAAAAAATGATGTAATGTCCAGCCACCTAACTTAAACAGTAAATTTGAAAAATGACGTAATGCCCAGATACCGGTTTTTTTAGGTAGATTAAAAAAACGAAATATATACCGGTTGAACAGAGGTAGATAAAAATGACGAAATTGTTTAACTACAAAAGGTTGAACAGAGGTCCAAATGAAAAAATGCCCAGCCAAGGTTGAACATAGGTATCAAAAATTTAATATATATATAATATGTTGAACAGATATATAAAATATTTTTAATAATGTTTTAGATACCGGTTGAACAGAGTTGAAAAATTTTTGGGTCAAATCCGGTTGAACGTAAGTAATTTTAATTGAAATTGAAAGTTTTTGATCGGTAGAGAAAAATGACGTCTAAATATAGAGACCGGTTGAACAGTGGTAGTCAAAAACAATAATGTCCAGCCACCGGAAAACGGTAAAAAAAAAATGTTAATTTATTTTTATCATTGAACGGTGGTTAAACACTTACCTATTTTTATATCTACCGTGAAACATTAGATACCAATTTTTGTAACAATTTTTGAAAAAATGGCATTAAAAATCAAAATTGTTTAGGAACGCAAAATAAAAATACTTAATCAATTATATTTCTTACCGTTCTCTTTTCTTATTTTCGTCCATTCTCATCCAATTTTTATATCTTTCTCTCTTAAATGTTTTTTTTTTTTTCAAATTATTTTTCTATTCTCATTCATCATTTTATTTCTTTATTCAATATTTTTCCTTTTCTTTTTAAAAAATTTCCTTCTCCTCTGTGCTCAAGAAAGAAAAAAACATTTCTTTTCCTAAATTTCTTTTCAATTTTTTTTTTTCCTTTTTCTCATTTTTATTCTTAAACCTTTTATATGACCATGGCTTATTGGTTATAGAAAAAGATGGCGTAATATCCAGCCACCGGTTGAACAGTGATAAAGAAAAAATGACTTAATGATGGGCCACCGGTTGAACGGTGGGTAAACACTTATTAACTATTTTTATATCTACCGTGAAGTATTCAAACCAATTATTTTCGAATTTTGACAAAGGATCTCAGGCAGAAAGGTTTAAATTGTTCAAAAACGCAGAGCTCAAAGGGTTAATCGATTTTTCTTTTTTCTTTCCATGAATTTTCTCTCCTCCGTAGTCAAGAAATTTTGATATTTCTTTTCTTGCTTCTTTTTCATCTTTTTTTCCTTTATATATTATTTTTTCTTAACCTTTTGTCTCCAAACCACCGATTTACCACCATGGTAGATAAAAATATGGATATTTTCCACCGGTTGAACAGTGATTTAAAATTATATAATTCCCAGTTTTTTGATCTAAACATTTTTTTATTTTTATATCTACCAAATCATTACATACCAATTATTTGCGTTCCATTCATGAATTCAAATAGAAGGCTTCAAATTATTCAGAAACGCAGGGATCAAACAGTTTAATATTTCATTTCACGTCCGGATGATTTTTTTCAAATAGATTTTCTAATGAAGCTAAATAAATAGATTTTATTAATTCATAAAGGTTTTTTACATGTCAAAATTAATCATAATTTTAGTATATTATAGTGTATAATATCAAACGGTTATTGACCGTGTCCATGAAAGGAAATATTCGAGATTCATTGACCAAAAAGTTTACCTTGTTCTAAATAGACACTTGTGGAGCGAAGACGGAAATAAACACCAAAACGGTCAAAAACCAAATGACAAAAATGGTTTCTGAGTCGGAGGATTTGCGATCCTTCCGGTTAATATATTAATGATTTGAAAATAAATATTTAGCATTTTTCAACCATTTTCGAGAATAAAATATACATGCTGCATGATCTCTTTGAAGGTTATATAAGCAAAGTTTCTAGAACAGACAACTGGTAAGGAAATTTTTATGTCTTGGGGAAATAAATAAGGAAGACAAACTCGTAGCTAAGTAATAAAATAGGAAATTTACTACACGAAGGTAAACTTAGCTACTGACCTAATGTTAACTCAGTGTATTTTGTTCCCAAAAAAGCCAGGGATGTGGCACAACTAAAAAAACATGTTTTTTTCTCAGACTCCAAAATATATATATATATATATATATATATATATATATATATATATATATATTTATATATATATATGTATATATATATGCGTGTGTGTGGGTCTTTGTGAAATTATGATAACTAAAAATTATTATTATTTATATTTATTTTAAATTTTTTGAAAAAAAAAATTTATTTTATTTGTTATATTTAAAAGGTGGTTATTTGTTTGTTTTTGTGACTGTGTATATGTAACAGGTAGAAATTTAATAATCCTTATTGCTTAATTTATTATCCAGATGGAAAATACATATGACATGTACACATCAACGAGACATTTCCGTCACACTTCCAATGTTTAGATTTCAACATTTCAACATACAAATGCGTATGTATATATATACACCACCCGTATACATACATGTGTCATAGCCGAAACTGCCCACATATGTTTATATATGTATGAGTCCCGACGGACGACCAAGTATGTATATGTGTCTGCATACATCGATGTTTGCGTTAGTACGATGAATGACAAAACGACGAAATTTCCCCACCACTTCCACAATAACACCAATACACGCAATCTACATAAACCCAAATTTTTTTAAACATTAATCAGTTTGTCTGACGATCGCTAAAGCGTGAAACCCAGGGTCACAAACTCACATCTATCCAACCAAATATGTTAGCTCTATCTCTGATATTGATATATTTCTAATAAGTACCGCGCATATAATATATAAATAATTATACATATATATATTTTTTTATTTTATATACACTTTTCACATATATATATATATATATATATATATATATATGTATATATATAAATGTGTGTGTGTGTGTGTGTGTGTGTGTGTGTGTGTTTGTATTTATTTATTAGGCTGCTTTTTATAAAATTTAAATTGATTACAACATCAAAAAGTTATAACAATTTGGGAAATAAGATTTATATATTTATTTTTATATATAAGCCCTTGGACTAAATTGAAACACAAAGAGAAAGATTTTAAATTTAGAATTTTCGGACACACCTGTGTCTTCTCCAACGAGACTAGAAAATGTTAAAAATTCATATAAAATGACAATGTGAATAAGGAAAAAAGTTAAACTTTCCGATAGAGTACACGTGGAAAAAGACAATGCAAATAAAGATTAATGGAAAACTTATCTTACCCAAGCGTTGTTTCATCTGAGAGAATTTAAATGTTCCTCAGAGGACGAAACGCGTCGTCTAAGATAAGATTTCATCTATCGTCATATACTATACATTTCTACTTGACTCTAATAAATTTAGAAATTTGAATATATATATATATATATATATATATATATATATATATATATATATATATATATACTTCCATGGTAACTGCTCTGATGAGCTGCTCTCTCTGGTTCCCAGACTCCATGAATTCAAATGCCCTACGAGGCTGGCATCCTGCTCTCACCCTTACACCGTAGAAACCTTCAAATGTAGCCGTCTCTTCTACTCCAATAGCTTCATACCTCGCACCTCTCGCCAGTGGAACACCCTCCCCAATTACTGTTTCCCTGAAAAAATATAATCTCCAACTATTCAAATGTAATGTCAATCGACATCTCCAATTACCTTGATCTACCCAATATCCTTCTCCTCTTCCTTTCTCCTATCTCTTATCTGCTCTCGCTCCAAACCCCCAAAATCCTAGTGGCTTCACGCCTTGCTTGGGGCAAATGCTTTTGTTCATATATATATATATATATATATATATAAAAGTCTAATCTATCCTACATATACTCATCATTTGATATGTATCCCCTGATCAAAAAAATCCCTGGACGTCCTTTATAAAACCAAATTTGTGAGTGATTTTTTTTTCTAAAATTTACATCTTCTTTTTCTCTTTCTTTCAAGCATTATATCCCTTTTTCTTTTCTATTTTTCTTTTTTTTTTTTCATTTCTGTTTCTTTCTCTCTTTGTTTGTTTGTTTGTTTCTTTCTTTCTTTCTTTCTTTTTTTTCTTTCATTTCTGTTTCTTTCTCTTTTTTTTTATCGTTTTTTTTTTTCTTTTTCCAATTCTTTTCTTTCATTTAAACATTTCAATTAATTTTTTTTAAAATTTTCTTTTTATTTCTGTTTGTCTTTTTCAATTTCCAGTTCTTCTTTCTTTCTATTAATTATTTTTTTTTTTCTTTTTTCTTTCTTTCTTTTAAAATTTTTTCTTTCTGTTTTTTTTCTCTCTTTGTTTGTTTCTTTCTTTCTTTCTCTCTTTGTTTCTTTCTTTCTTTCTTTATTTTAAGTATTATGCTTTTTTCGATGTTTCCTTTTTTATTTCTGTTTGTCTTTCTTTCTTTCTTTCTTTTTCTAGCATTATTTGTTTTTCTTTCTTTCTTTCTTTCTTTCTTTTTTTTTCTTTCATTTCTGTTTCTTACTCTCTTTGTTTGTTTCTTTTTTTTTTCTCTTTTGTTTCTTTTTTTCTTTCTTTTTTTTTTAGTTTTCTTTGCTTTTTTTTTATGTTTTCCTTTTTTTTTTCTTTATTGTTTTGTTTCTTTCTTTCTTTCTTTCTTTCTTTCTAGCATTATTTGTTTTTCTTTCTTTCTTTCTTTCTTTCTTTCTTTGAAATTACTTAATTTCCTTACTTTTCTTTAAAATGACAAGTGACTACCTTGAGTAAAACTTATTGATATTCTTTTGTGAATAATAGTAAAAAAAAAAATAGATCCGTTTATGGTGTGAGCTTACAAATATATACAGAATATTTACTTCGCATCTAAAATGTGTTTTTATTCCAATCATTTATGACTCAAAAGAAAAACATAACGTAATTTCTAGCATATAAGAAGCAGATTATTGCCATACCTCTCTGTATGTGTGTTTTCTAAAACAAATAACCTTAGGACCTCACACAATAGTCCTTTCAGTGTGATGTTAGGAAAGTTGCCATGTGTACAACTTAAGACTAGCCTGATACAACTCGAGCAGGTCAGAATGAGATGTGTTGTGTGTAGGGAGAATTTCCATAATGATTGTTGTCATCTATTTAATTTTTCATCATTGTTTTCTTTCGTATTGAGCTCATGGGAGTTCAGACCCTTTAAAGAGGAGAACTCGTCTATCCCTTTTTTTTTCCTTTTTGTTGTTGTTGTTTTTTTTTGTTGTTGTTTTTTGTTTTTTTTTTATGAGGAACGATCTTTACCATCCTTACGACCAGGGCGTCCAGAAACGTAGAAACTGGTCAACATGTGCACAGCCTAGCGTTTTTGTAAAAATCAGTTTCTAGTCAAAGCTACGGACGGTCAAAGGCCATAAAAGATATGTTATTTTTTTGTTCTCGTTCTGTAAACATTCTCGTTCGTTGGACAGTATGAACAGTCATTTGTTTTGGGATATATGTAAATCCTTTAATAAATGTAAGTTGTTTGCCATATTAATATTAGTATCGGCGTGTTACTGGAAAACTGAAACGTATTATGCTTCCTAACACTAAATAGCCAGTAACCTATGACTATCTGATAGATTATACTAATACATACTTCTCTCAAGCCGGCAAGCACGGTAAAAAATTTTTAAAAGGTGAATTTTGACAACCTCAATTTTTCGATGATTGATCTACACACATAAAATTTCTACTCAGATAAATATCAGAGAAATGAAAAAAGGTAAAATAAATCAAGACTTTCTCTATTTCGGTAAATGTGAATTTTTTTTATTTTTTTTTGTCAACGTTTGTCTCTGTCTGGCCTCGAAATATCAACTTCTCTTCCTCTTATTACTTACAATAAACTTGCGCAAATCTACAGACATAGATATTGACGGAGAATAATAATGCAACTCTCAGTCGGACATTTCCGATTTAGACTTACAGGAGACACACTTTTATCTACGTTTTCAGCGATCTTGTGACGTACATTTCATCACTGGCGATCGGACCCAGAACCAGCATCAACAGCAATAAACGGATGTTCCCTTGCAGGCCTTGAGCGCCTACTGGGTCTTAAAGTCAACCTAAACCTCAACTGGAACTCATGCATGCTGGGAAAATGGCCTGTTCCATTTAACGATCCAGTAAGTACCATTACAAGCGCCAGATCAGGCTAAAATTTTATATATATATATATATATATATATATATATATATATATATAAATACATCAAATTATTCAAAACTAATGACCTATATTTAAATGGGGAACATCCATGCAAACGATTCAAATAGTAATAAAAAAGTCGAGATCCGTTATATGAGAACTCCTTTTTATCAAATTTCGCTGTATTATGTTATTTTTATTCTTTTCGTCTGTTCCTATTTTCGTCAGGCATATAATAATATGTTCTTGGTTTTTCTCTGGTAATAAGAGGACATCGAAAATATATTATTGTATACAAATGCTATTAAAATGAGTTATTTTTTTTTACGCGCCAAAGCAACGCACACATTGTTTGAATTTTTTTAAAATTTCTGCGTCTATACTTTTTATTAATGAACAAATAGTTTTTTAACAACAAATTTTTTACTGTCAAAGTGGCATGAACTATATTGTTCAATAATTATTCTAATGTCTTACTTTAAACCAAAAAGTCGCACGGATCAATATTTAAATTACAATAAACGTGTTATCAAAATACAAATACATTACTTTTATTACTAAGAAAAAACCAACCCATACATCTATTATATACCTTATTAATAACAGACGAAAGCTTGTAGTAAATGAACAACTAATTCACGGCAGAAATTTATATATAATGGCTCAAATGACGATAACGGATCTAATCAATTTCATCAATATATTTGAACCATATCCATTCTTTAAATCATAAAACTTATTTTGTATTATAAAATATTTGTTTATTGATTGCTATTTAGTTAATATATATATATATATATATATATATATATAATTATTTATTTTAAAAAATTATAACATATTTATGTTATAAAATATAAAATATTATTTTGTTTTTAAATTTCGGTGTCTTATCAAAAGATGTTGAATTTAATTAATGATTTTAAATATATATATATATATATATTTCCTATATATATATATATTTGATAGATAGAAATAGATAGATTCATCAAGATAGATAGATAGAGATAGATATATATCCTCTGATAGATAGATAGATAAAGAGATTTTGAACAGACCAAAATAGATAGATAGATAGAGAGATAGATATATGAATAAACCAAGATAAATAGATAGAGAGAGAGATTTGAACAGGCCAAGATAGATAGATAGATAGATAATGAACAAACCAAGATAGATAGATAAATAGATTTGAAAATGGGACACATACATATATATTTAGATATAGAGTGATAGAAATAAGATATTTTTATATTTATGAGAGAGAGGGAGAAAATCATTTTTAAAGACACTTTTGTGGTATTCAATTTATGGACGAATGATAGAATTATATTTATTGTTTATTAAAACGTTCTCTAATATCCTTGTCTTATATACTTTCGTCTGTGATATTATCTAATATTCTCGTTTTATTACCCAGTTTTTCTTTTTTCCTTTCTGTCTTTAAAATCTATAGACTGAGAGCAATATATCTCGAAAACCAAACTTGATTTGACTTGTTATTTACATTACCGAACTGTTTTCCTGAATTTTTGTCTAATTACGATGAATCGTTGTTTTCTCCTTTGCACAGTTTATAAACCCTATTGGGTTTTAAAATTTTTCCAGACCTCAAATGGAACTCAGACAAAGATGCTGGAAAAATGATCGGTTCCCTGTAACTGCTTCATCCAACATTAAAGGGCCAGATCAGGCTAAAAATAGTGAGGAAATGCTATTTATATGGACATTCTAAGTAACTTACTTCAAGGGTTTCTTTTTTGTATTTCTTGCGTAAACATTTCTGTATCTTCCACGATAAAAACTTACGTTCAGGTTATTGCAATTGTACCTTCTTTCTTGACAATGTGAAATATTCAAAAAAGAATACTGACCAAATACATTTAACAATTGCAGATCAGACCAAAAATAGAAGTATAAATGTTATATATTGTCTGATTTGCCAAATCTTTCGCTTTCCAAAGTCGATAGAGCTTCAAAAAGCGCATCTGCGTCCTTGTTTTAGAGTGACAAATTACACCATGGAACAATTTTGAACATATCCTTCTGTTGAGTTCGTTTCTTTTTTCACTTGATTTAGACTAAAATTGCTATGCTGATTTCAAAACTACAGTCAGTTGTCTTCTATTACGTCAAGTTTTTTCTTCCCTAGAGCCTTCTCCCGGAATAAGCACTGATTTGCTAATAACGCCTCTTTTAATGAGTTGCAATCAAAGTGTTAAGAAAAGTAATTAATAAAATAATATTTAGTTTTTTGTTTCAACAATTAATAATTAATAACATTATTTTATTAATGTTGAATCTAACGTCATATAGAGGAGATTAACGATCGGGCGGGGAGAGTGAAACCTGATACCTATTCCGTTACACGTGAGAGAAAGCATTGAGAGGCTGTGTGTTCCATATAGGCGAGTGCTATTCTGTAAACAAAACATAAAATTCTGTATATTACACTCTAGCAGAAATTTTTTTTTCTATTGTTTGAATCTACTTATTTTTTATTTATTAACATATTTCCATTCTTTTCAGATCATGTCTACCTCAGCTACTTCTCGTCCCAAATGCCTAAACAGTCCTGATTCCTTTTGTTATATCTGTGACAGTTTCACCATTCTCAGTCAAAACGGAGGTTTGAATCAGCACATTTATCAAGTGAATCCTATTTTGCATATTTTAAAAATGTAAAAATAGTGATCAAATCAATTCTTGCACCCTCACAAAGACAAAGACCGGTTTTCGAGGTTTACTAATGTGGAATAAAGGAACACGTGATAAATTGACATTTGAACCAAAGTTTGACCTTTTGGTTTTTTCAAGTCAGAAAAACACCATAACGCAAGGGGTTTTAAAAGTGATCAAAAATAAAGAGGAGTGTTTGGGGAAAAGATAAATTCTGAAGGACAGGGGATCAAGGTCAAGGCATCAGAAGATGTCAACTGACATTACATTTGAATATTTCAAGATTATAGCTATCAGGGAAGCAAAAACCCTTTTTTTTTAAAACTGGTGCCCCAAGCAAGGCAGGAGTGCCACTAGCACACAAAATTAAAGAGGAGTGAGAGTAAGAGTAAAGAGGAGTGTTTGGGAAAAGGATAAAGAAAAGGGCAGGGATCAAGGTCAAGGCATCAGAAGATGTCGATTGACATTACATTTGAATATTTCAAGATTATAGCTATCGGGGAAGCAAGTGATAAGGAAGGAGGTTCTACTGACAGGAGGTGCAAGATAAGAAGCTCGTAAAATAGATCGTTACATTTAGCCGTTTCGACAGTTAAAAAATGGGACCAAGATGCTAGCCTAGTAGCACGTTTAAATTCATTCAATTTAGAAACGAGTGAAAGTAGCTCGTCGGAGTAGTTGCCTTGAAAGTACTTGTTGAAAAGGCAGAGGGAAGCCACAGTACGTCTTTGAGATAGCGACTGCAGAGGTGATGGCAGATCAGGACCAATCATGTTGCATATCCGTCGCTGGATTTTGTCAAGAACTTCGAGATGGACAGCGGGAGCACCAGACCATATATGGCAGTAGTATTCCATGCAAGGACGAATTGTTGGCTGTAGATTTGAAGGATGGACTCCGGCAAGAAGAACCTTCTAACGCGGCATCGAGAACCAACTTTCCTTGCAGAAGATGAAGCTATAGATTCAATGTAGTTGTTCTATCACCAAGCCCATGATCTCGTTTGATCCTAGGTTCGCTGAGCAGCTGACATGCTCCCTCGGCATGTCTTGGTTGCATGACTGTTTCTCTTTTAATGATTTTCTAGTCCAGACGTTGTCAGCCATTTTTCGTCTGTCGTTTCTTCATTTGCCTAAGATGATATCTTGTCGGATGCCAATGGCTTTCATGACGTTCCCATATCATTGTAAATAATTTTTTAATAGTCAATATATATTCCCATGGGCGATGGTATCTCGCACTGTGCCATTCGTGATACCAAAAATCATAGCTGATTTTAAATTATATTAAATTTCGGCCATTGCAATCACATATTTTAAGCTTTATCTTGCGATAAGGCGTTAAAATATTTTTTTTTTACAATTTTATATCTATTTACAGAAATTTAGATGGATATCACCAAAGCACGTTTTTTTCGAGATTATTTGAATTGCAGAAAGATTTCTTTACACTTTTTATCTGTCATAAATTTCGATTCTTTGTCAGATTAACAAATACGGCATTGCAATCCTGTTCTGCGTAATGAGCAGGCAGCAGAAATGTAATACTACAGAAGGATACTGAGAATTACATGGAAAAACGAAGAGACGATGAAGAAAACAGCGATAGAAAAAACACTTACCTTAATACCCCTTTGTATAATACGCCTTCATCCTTAATACGCACCCCTAAAATTGTGCTGAAAGCGTGGGAAAATACTTCTACACACAAATAATACGTTTGGTAATCAAACGCTATAAATTGTACCTCTTAAATTTCATTACGGTCAGCGTTTCCTACTCTCATCAAAAATGGTTTTAAACAGAGAATAATATTATCCTAATTTAGTTTTATAATAATTCTTATTTTATATTAAATTTGTAAGTATTGTTAAGTATATATGATTGTATTTGACATCCTTATGGGGTCGCAATCGCCGAATGTTAGTGTCAAATTGCCGTATGTTTCTGATAAGTAGTCATTTCGTAACTGAAATCGACCTATGAAATGACAATTATTTAAAGATATTTTTTACTTGTTGTTATGCCATAGTACCTATTCTATTGTAATGGACTCTCCCATAGATCATAAGTAGGAGTAGCAGTGGCAAGTCTGGCAGAACGGCGTCTCGCGGTCTCTGACTGCGGACGCCTCCTGTCGAACTCTCTGCATTAGCTGAGAGGAACCCGGACGAGGCTTTGCCGAATTGTTTCGTCCGGGGAGGTAGACAGGGGCCTGAACCCATTTAATCGGCTTCAAAAGGCTATTTTTTTGGCCGAGCCTACGGGCTCGGGGAAACCCACATAAAAAATCGGCCTTGTGCCATATTCTTTTCCGTGGGTGAAAAGATAAATACCGAACGGCGTCTCGCGGTCTCTGACTGCGCACGCCTCCTGTCGAACTCTCTGCATTAGCAGAGAGGAACCCGGACGAGGCTTTGCCGAAGGGCAAGGTTTCGTCCGGGGAGGTAGACAGGGCCTGAACCCGTCTAATCGGCTTCAAGGGCTATTTTTTTGGCCGAGCCTACGGGCTCAGAGAAACCCACAATAAAACCGGCCTTGTGCCATATTCGTTTCTCGTGGGTGAAAAGATAAATACTGAACGGCGTCTCGCGGTCTCTGACTGCGCACGCCTCCTGTCGAACTCTGTGCGTTAGCAGAGAGGAACCCGGACGAGGCTTTGCCGAAGGGCAAGGTTTCGTCCGGGGAGGTAGACAGGGCCTGAACCCGTTTAATCGGCTTCAAAGGCTATTTTTTTGGCCGAGCCTACGGGCTCGGGAAACCCATAAAAAACCGGCCTTGTGCCATATTCTTTTCCGTGGGTGAAAGATAAATACCGAACGGCGTCTCGCGGTCTTTGACTGCGCACGCCTCCTGTCGAACTCTCTGCGTTAGCAGAGGAAACCAGACGAGGCTTTGCCGAAGGGCAAGGTTTCGTCCGGGGGAGGTAGACAGGGCCTGAACCCGTTTAATCGGCTTCAAAAGGCTATTTTTTGGCCGAGCCTACGGGCTCAGGGAAACCCACATAAAAACCGGCCTTGTGCCATATTCTTTTCCGTGGGTGAAAAAAGATAAATACCGAACGGCGTCTGCGGTCTCTGACTGCGCACGCCTCCTGTCGAACTCTCTGCGTTAGCAGAGAGGAACCCAAACGAGGCTTTGCCGAAGGGCAAGGTTTCGTCCGGGGAGGTAGAACCACCTAGGCCTGAACCCGTTTAATCGGCTTCAAAAAGGCTATTTTTTTGGCCGAGCCTACGGGCTCGGGAAAACCCACAAAAACCGGCCTTGTGCCATATTCTTTTCCGTGGGTGAAAAGATAAATACCGAACGGCGTCTCGCGGTCTCTGACTGCGCACGCCTCCTGTCGAAATCTCTGCGTTAGCGAAGAGAACGAACAACGATCTTTGCCGAAGGGCAAAAAAAAAACGGGAGGTAGATAGGCCTGAACCCGTTTAATCGGCTTCAATAGGCTATATTTTTGGCCGAGCCTACGGGCTCGGGAAAAAACCCACATAAAAACCGGCCTTTGTGCCATATTCTTTTCCGTGGGTGAAAATAAATACCCAACGGTTTTTCGCGGTCTTTGACTGCACACGCCTCCTGTCGAACTCTCTGCGTTAGCA